GCTTACAGAAAAGGAGGATGAAACTCCACTTAGCCACTGAGGGTACCATCATGACATGTTTCAGTTTGTTTTCTGCAGAAGAAAAGTTCATGTGTCTCAATTTGTCTCTTTCATTTTTCATCAAAAGAGGTTAGTAAATTGAATCTTTTCGAGGCTGCTCGATGTTTTATACACATGTTTCTGTAGTAAAACTCTTGAGGTTTTAATGAATTTGGCTCCATCGGCTATAGAACAAACATATCCTTCGAAGTGAAACATTAAAAAAACCTCAAATACTTTCTTACACTTGCTGGAAAGTTGAATTTAAAAAAAGAGAGTCGTTGTTTAACTCTATTGAAAATTTAGATATTGTTTTGCCATTGCTTATCAACAATACTTTTCATCACCTGTATTAAGCAATCGAAGGAAAAAACTCCTTTTTGTCCTAGAAAATTCCCTTTTCTAATTTAGAATAATAAAAAGAAGATTGTGTCAGTTGCCTTATGATTCATGAAAAGAAAATTACGTCAAAACTAATAAATACAGCCACCTAGTAACCAATGGACTCTTTACCTATTGTTCAGTCGTGCACTGCTAAAATTCACATACTCTAAAAATGGCAATGTATCTTAAGATCTAGAAAAAGGAAAGGAGTGACTCTGTCGTCTTGTTTGATAACTACTGTTCATACTTCGTAGAACATTTGTGACATTGTGACATTGTGACATTGTGATAAAAATTTTGGTATATTCTCCAATTATAAACAGGATATTCAACTTTACATTAAACTCTCAGGTAGGTTTAACTCCCGAAAAATTTCAATTCGTTAATGCATCTTGCACACTGATAAATTTTTTTCAACATTTTTGTGCGTGTTATTCATAAGAGGAAAAAATGATGTAAAACAAGGAAAAAATTTAACAGTTTATTTTTAGTACTGCCGTCATGGATTGGGCACATATCCTGATGTATCAAAAATGGACAATTTCATATACAACCGAGCTAATTCTATTTGAAGCATTATCTTAATGAGAATGAAGGCATCAGTTTTTAGCCAATAAGTTGCATTTCATGACAACGGACTTTTTGAGCTACGGAAAAAGAAATTGAAATGAAACAAAAATGTTTATTTTCCACTTAATCTAAATGAGATGACAGCGTTTTCCCTCGAATGTCTAAAATTTAATTTTCGAATAAAGAATAAACAGTCTCATGTTTGTCATAGTTAT